CCCGCCCGCGATGCGCTCGGCTCTTGCAAGTCACCTGCCCTAGGCGAAATGCAATTCACAAATTCACGACTCATTCCAATCAGAAGTAACAGTTACTCTCGAAAAGAATATCGTAAGACAATACGAGATTGGAGAATAATTAAAAATAAGAATTTAATATCCAACCTGTCACGATACGAATGTCGTACAACGTTTCATCGACTGTGTACAGATTACAGTGTACTGCATTTTGATGAACATATTGGAGTTATAACTAAGAGGCCATGAATTAGTTCTGACATTACATACTGAATTACGGAGACTGGATGTTGTTGTTAATATTGGGTTATAGATTATTAGAGTATTTTGGTTCTACAACTTGCCTTAAGAAAATGATCTCAGTTTCGTAGAGTTTGACTTAAGACTATTAAAGTGAATAATGGTATATTGTGAAACGATGGAGTGGTACCCAAGTGCGGGATGATATTACTTCACGGGCGAGGAAGGAGCAAATAAACTTTACAGGAGAGCATTGCATCGATTTGCATACCCTACTTTTTCTGCGACTAATAACTATTACAAGTCACATTTACATGTTGAATGGAATGTGGCAGCTGGCATGGCGTATTCAGCCAACGCCACCTAGCAGAGAACCTCCTAGATGTCCTAGGTGGCATTGATGAAACATAAGCACAGCCCGACTTTAAACGAGCAGTACACGAGTCAAGAAAGGATTCAAATGATTAAAGAAATCTCGTCGAAGTCCAGTTCACTTTATGACCTTAATAATTGATACACTCGTCGTAGGGAGCTTCAGTATTCTGAGTTTCGGAATCAGGGGAGGGCAAATGCGATGACCGTCACTACCTTACCAGTTCTATTGGCATCATAATATGCACAAACCAACGAAATATTTAATAGAACGACAATAAATGATTTATTAGTTCTCAACTGTGAACTTCTCTGTCGTTGCTCAAGCACTTGTACGATAACGAAGTTGTATTAAAATGTCAATCGTTATGCTACGAGCCACCATCTACCAAGAGATTTATACTATGGAAGTAGAAAGAAATATACGTACAGTATTTGTACACTTTAATTGTAATGAAACTGTACAAAGATATTTCTCTTATGTAAAACTTCACGAATCTGCGATCAGTTTTACTAAGTTTTTAATTCTTCACAAGTGACCTGATAATCTACTGTCAGCATCATTCCGTCTCCTTTCGTAGAATGAGAGTCAAATTGTAATGCGGTGCACTGTAATTGTTACAAAGGGGATAAAAGTTGTATGATATTAATATGATGACGTGTTCTTAATTCTTAAATCCAAATTACAATTTGTAGATGTACGTCTGAGAACTGATCCTTGTATTAAAATATCAATGCAGCTCCGATCTGAATGCAAAGCCATTCGTGCCGAGCTGTCGCGGGCGTCGAGTGGCGGGCGCGCCGGCCTTGTGTTGACGTGTACTCGGCGCGCGGGCCGCTGCGAGGGCGAGGGCCCGCGCGCCGTCGCTCTGGCTGCAGCTGCTGGGTCCGCCTCTCTCTCACTTAACGCCCCCTCGCCGGAGACGAACGCTCACAGACACCCGGGGCCCGGCTCGGCCCTGCCCGGCCCCAGCCCGCCACCGCCGTCCACTCCTCACTCTCAGCACACGTTTCACGCACTTCGGATTCAAGCAACTCTTTTGCGTTCTGTTGTACTGAGCCAGAGGTCCAAGGCTTTCCTCTCCGTCGTCCTCGTATGCTTTGGGGGAACGCATCAGTAGTGCCCAAACTTAACAACAGCTTCGTGGATGGCTTAAAATTTTGGGACCGCAATACTAATTTCGTTAGGTACAATTCAATGGGCGATTAGCTCATCTTCTGCTGAAAAGGTCCCTTGCCTGGAAATGCCCTATTTTCAATTTGTTCTATTTTTATTAATTTATTTCAAAACACGATTTTCTAGAAGTTGTGATCATTTGAAATTTGCCAAATTTTGGTACTAGTCAGATTCTCGAGTCTGCAGTGGCCAGTCAATGTTCTTCCGCCTGACCGTGTTTAAGATCAACGAAGTACCCGTTCAATTTACATTATTGCAATGCTAAAATTAATCAGATATTTTACGCTTTTTCTTTTAATATAAAATAAGGGTTCATTTTTTTCTGGAAGTCATGAGCTCATGTGCAAGTTTGAAGCAAGTGGGGAAACCCCTCAAATTCTTATTTTCTGAAATATTCGTGAAATGGCTACTACTGAAGCAAGAGCCATTACTGATGTCTCTACCCTTCTCGCGGATTAATACTCGGAAAACGTTTCGTTACTTACAACGCAAAATCCGGATTGCCTTTTTTCAGTAGTTCATATTATTATTCAAGGAAGATATTTGTAAAATAGGTCAGTTTTTGATTGATGTTAATAGTGCATTACACTGAACTTGATTCAGCTCTAAGGAGGTTGCCTACGCGTATTGCAATCCTGCCATCTCGCATGTTAACAATCGTGTGAAAAAATGTGGATCGTCCCATTGTTTATACGCTCTTAATATAACGAGTTTCCTCAATAACATGTTACCCCGCTTTACTAGCAAAATGCATGAACTATTAATCATTTTTCGACCCACTTTCAAATATAATTATGCGTGAAGTGGTTCAGTGCCATCCTGAGTTCATATTGAATTGCCATTGGTTTCCTCGTAATATCTTCCGTAATTCAGAATATCTGAGCCAAGATTGGTTTCAGATTGCTTTTATGTTGTGTCAGAATAAAAGATACACATTTCTAGGTTGTGTAGAGGAGTCAAAGATTATCACATTTTGTTATCGGGCATGTACTGGAAAATTTCATTCTACAAAGTTACACGTGTGAAATTCTCCCCGAATTGTGTGACAACTCCTCAGGCACAGTTGTTCGGCAAGTACTAGAAATCTCTTTAACTGGAGCAGAGGATGATCTTCTGAATAGTAATGCTGGAGGCTATGCCTACCAATCAGGGGCAAATGTCATGCGTGCAACTTCGGTATGTGAAATTTCAGCCTTGTGTTCATTGGCAAAAAGGTATTATCTTCGACTCCTTTACATGGCCTAGAAGTTTGTGACACTTATTCTCAGACATTCTGTACATGATACCCGCACGTAGTGCACGACTAACAGATTGCAAAGGAAGATTGGGACCATCAAAGAGCACCAGGTGGTCGCCAAGAAATGCTCAGCCCGGCTGTGGACTCTCGGAGTCGATTCGACGGCCGTGTGGTGCGACGTATCCGCCAGCAGAGAGCTCCTACGTCTCGCTCCCCCTTAGGCCTCATTCACAATGCAAACGTAAACGTCAACATAAAGGCGGCTCTACACATGCGACATTCTGCGAATCCCCAGCAACCGCTTGCCGAATCCCGAGTTGTGTGGACGGGTTGCTTGCGATTCGCCAAGCGCCGAAGGTTCGGTATTCACCCTACCCATCGCGTGTCAGTCTTTAGGACACATCAAAGGGAGCGAACATTCACCGAACACATATACTGTTCGGGATGGGGCGAGCAGTAGCTTGCTGCTCGGCGAAAGCCGAATGTGAGGAACCGCCTGAACTTAGCAGCAAAACCTAGAAATGAGTTATTAACGAGATAATTCACAATGCCTTGGCGTAAATCATTGTGACGTACGTTCACAAGCCCCAAGCTTGAACGTTCAGTTTGTCTGAATTCTACCGAAGACCAATCAGACAGTGGCATGAAAGAAACAGATATGGTGGATTTCAGATTGTGTTCAGGTAGTTTGTGGTTATGTCATTTCATTGTCGTTATGTACTAAATTAGTTTGCGAATGATTTTGATGCAAGTAGTAAATTCAAAGTAAAAATTTGTACCATTTTCTTGTAACGTTAACTTGACGTGGTGAATAAAATAATTACGTTCGACGAATCAATTGTGAATTTGGTACAAGAGAATCCTTATTTATGAAATAAAGGAAATGCGAGCACTAATACAACACTCACATTTATATACAAAGACAAATAAATATGAAATGGAAGATAAAGCTAGACACCCTGGTGAAAAGACCCACCATGCTAGAAACGAATCGATTAAGCTTCACTACGTGGAAATCTGATTTGTTCGGGGACAAGTTACGTCCCAGCTTACGTCATTCATAGTGAATGCTTGTTTTTACGTGCAAATTTTACTGTTGGGTTTACAGCATTACGTTACGTTTAAGTTTGCATTGTGAGTGAGGCCTCTGCCAGTCCGCTCCTCACCCCTCCACCCGCACGAGGCCCGTGCGTATTCCTTCCATGATCAACACCCCTGCCTCCAAAGGCACACGCACACACATGCACACGTGACGCTCTCTGCCGGCGGCACCCGTCACGGTCTGCTCTCGCCTTGCCACGCCACGCCACGCCACGCCCCCACACAACACTCCTCGCAACGCTGGGTGCGAGCAGAACACGGGCTCTGCCAGGGACAGCCTTTCCCTCGAGCGTCCGACTAAGGATATTGAGAAAGATAACTCTACAATCTGGAAACATTATGTATTTTTAAGCATTTCAGTTTTATAATCGTCATTAATCACGCATGCCCATCGTGAGAAATTATTGTTTTCTTAATGTACAATAAAGGTTCGTGGTAAAGAATTATCATTGTAATGTGTTAATTCTCTTTGAGAATGTCTCAGAATAAATGTTACAAATTCTAGGGGAAGAAGATTTAGGGAACGATCATTTTTTGCCAATAAGCATGAGGTGGAAGATCAAAAGTACCCCACGTGACGTACCCTGAAGTTTCCCATGTGACCTCTGGTCCCTATAGTTAAGCATTGGTGTTCTGGCGCAGTTAAAAACCTTTCATGTGCCTCCCGAACATCGGTGCATGAGGAGTTGCCTGGCTATGAGGGTCACGTGTGTAACTTAGTTATTTGAAATTTTCATTACAAACTCGGTGGCAAAGAGTGATTTTCGACGATTTATTCTGAGACCCCAACTGAATTTCCACAGCGTCGAAAGTCGACGTGAGTGAGGTTGGCCGTGCCCCGCAGCGCTGCGCCGCGCCGCTGCGCACCGCCCGCCCACGCCCAGTTGATGCGTTGTTGCTCTGTTTCAGGCATGAGGTCCCTGTCACCTCCGAACCCATCACCATCGTCCACATGGACGAGGACGTAGTGGTCGTTAACAAACCCGCGTCCATTCCTGTAAGTGGCAACAAGACAGCCTCTCATTCTCTCTCTCTCTCTCTCTCTCTCTCTCTCTCTCTCTCTCTCTCTCATCTGCTCTGTCTGCCTGTGGTGTATGTTTTCTCCACCTCGCTGACTCTCTTTTTTTCTCTCTTTTCCCTGTAACGCAAAATCCTCCGTCCTGCACGCGTTGGTAAAGAGCCCGCCCCGCCCCGCGC